TTTTGAATCTGTTATTATCTCTGCAACACCTTGTTTCATTGAAAAAATTATAAGGTGAGTGTTTGTATTTAATTGTTTGAAGTGGAATTAATTGCATGTAGTAGTCTTATTTTTCTCACTGTGAAAAAGAAAATTCAAAATATAGTTATTGAAGTTACGTTTTGTTTCTTTTTAAGCATCATAGCATAATAAAGTACTGAGATAAGGGGGTGTTCATTCACTGGATCTCTAAACGATGAAAAACCAGTGAAGGAACAAGTGTTCCTTTACTGGGTTTTTTTTCTAAGTTAATGAAAATAAAATATAAACTTTAATTTTCTTGTACCTTTAGTGATATTCCGCAACAAAAGTTTGTTAAAAATACGAAAAACAACTTCTAACCAGTGAGGGAACAGGCATGCTCCCTTACTGGGCATAGATTTCCCAGTGAATGAACAGTATGTGTTAATATGTTGACACTTTAATTTTCAATTCATGATTACAAAAAAAAAGTTAACGTTTTCCAAGTATTTTAATGTTATAATTTCAAGAATATCCAACAAAATTCACAAAGAGCATTAAAAAATAACCAAAATTAAGTGTTCCTTTACTGGGTGTTCATTGACTGGTAAGAGCTGTTCCTTCACTTGGTATTCTTACTACTTGTTATTTGAACCTCCAGAACTTTAAAACAATATTATGTAAGTTCCCTACAATTTTTTTACATAATTTGCAATTAGTAATAAACATGTTGACACTGTCATTTAACTAAAATTACGAATTTTTAAATTAATATGATTTTTTAAAAGGCAAGCGAAGCTTAAATGTTCCTTCACTGGTTAGTTTACCATATTATTACAATTTAAAAAAATAACATAAAGTATTTTTTTGTTCGGATTACCCTAACTATTCTGTAGATTAGCCAGGTATTAACTATTAACTTATTAACTGTGTTCGAGCTTTAGCCGTTACACGTTCATATTATAAAAAATTTTAGAAATGTTATTTTAAAGGAAAAGCATACCTAGCGATGTTTCAATAAATTAAGGTAAGTCTGATTTCAATGAACCAATTAGGCGCTAATTTCCATAGAGCAAACCATTAAAATAAATACTACTCTTTTTTAAAAAAATTAAGTAAAAAAGAAATAGTAAACTGAAAATAAATTAATTTTTTTTTTGCAATGACAATTGAGGGCTCTTATAGTGTGGTGCCCTGGGAAAGTGCCCATTTTCCTTATGCCATAATCAGACCCTGGGGAATAGATGTACTGAATTTAAATATATATAAACACCGAAATAAACGTTGAAAGAATATCTATGTTTGAAAAGTGTCTTTAAAAACTTTGTTTTTTAATTTAGATGCTTCCTATGACGATTGTAATGACGCATCAAACGTCGATTATCTCCGTCGATAATATTTACGCGACCCCCTGTTATATATAACGTGTTTAAACTTATATATTTCTACAAAAAAAAAAAAAAAAACTAAAAATGCCATTTAAAAAAAAATCTATAGATTTTAGGAGCAAAACTAATTTCAGATTTGAAATCCTCACACTCAAATTAAGCAAGATCAAGTATTTGCATAAACGCAACAAAACATTTGTTCCACAAAAATATGTTAAAATAATTTAAAAAAATAGCAAAACCTGTGAATAACTGATTTCTACACTTTAACGGTAACATATTCATTATATTCTGATACAATCCCATAGCTTATAGGGTTGAATGTTTTAGTCATAGTAATCCTTTGAGCGTAAGCTACGCAGTTCTAATCTCTCTTTTTCTTTAATAATATTCATACGATACATTACAATAATATATTTTAGAACATTTTTTTTAGAACATTTTTAGAAGATAAAGCTTAATAGAATTCTTTCTTAAGAAATTTACTTAAAAAAGAAATTGTAATAACTAAGTTATTCCTTATTTAATAATACTTTGAATATGAATTCAAATTTAACTTTTAAATTAAACTTTCATGAGAAAAGAATTGTGTGATATGAATTTCAAATGAGCTATGGAAAATTTTGGCATACTTTTATGAAATTCATTTATAAATAAAATTTTATAAAATAGGTTGAATGATTTTTCTTAGTTAGTTACGTAGTTATGGCCTTATTGAAAAATTTTACATTATAACTAAAAATCAAATAAATCTTATGCTTTTGAATAGAAATATCTGGAACATTGTCAATTTTTTCCTTACTTATGCATAATTCTTAGAATAAAAACGGACTTTTCCTAAGAAGACGAGCAGATAAAGAATGTAATTTTAAAAGTTTTGTCATGTTTTAACCATTTATTTGATTTTTCTCTTTACGTTAAAAAAAGCAAGAACTGCCGCAGGTGTTCAAGTTGCTAAACTTTTTGTTGCATTTTGTTTTTGATGGTGCAAAAACTAAAAAACTTTGAACCCTGAAATGCCGAAGGTATGCAGAAAATTTTTCAGAAGGTATGATAGAATAAAAGGAGAAATTATTTTTTCTTTTAATAGTTTAAGAATAATAAGCTATTAAATTTTTGGTGACTAATACCGTGTGAGACACTCTGTAGTCCATTGAAATGCAATTACAGAGTTGAAAGTAGATGTGCTGAAAAGGTCATTTTTGTTTACGAAGTTAACGCAATTTTTTTTTATTTTTAGTAATTCTAATTTATTGCAGTTTTAAGGGTTTTTTTGCTCTCTTTTCAACTCAAGGAGAATTTTTTTTCCAACTCTTCTATTTTTGTTACATTTTATTCAGTGGCGCATAAATTATAAGGCTTAGACAATTTAAATTACATTGGGGTGTAAAAAATGTACAGCGAGTACTTTAAAAAGTTAAGTTTCGATTTATTAGATTGTTAACTGTTTAACTTCTAGTAAAAGAAACCATTCAGACAGTTATTCTAAGAAAGTTTTATTTTAGAGAATAGCAATGAAGTGAATAATTATAATAGAATTCGTAATACTAATTATTATAATGATAGAATTAATAATAATGACAGTATTAACAATTATAGAAATAATAATAAATAATAATGATAAATAATAATAGTATAATTTCTCATACCTGTCGAAAAATGTAATGAATTAATTTATTTATTAAAATTTTTTTTGAAAATTTTAAATTAAAAAAAGATAGATATTTTATTTAACCTGAGAATAAAAAAATAGATTTTCCAAATTCATAGGAAAAAATGCAAATTTCTTGAAAAACCTCCTTTAAAAAAAAAAAAAAAATGCAAATATTTAATAACTTCTTTCTTAAATAGAGTCAATTTTTTTAGTCAATTCACTATTTCATAAATTATTTCGTAAATTCCCTTTAAAACTCCTTAGAGAATATTTTTTTATTTTTAATAAAAAGTTTCTTTTTGAAGTTCTGTTATTTCGTTTAAAACATTTAACAATTTTTATATTTTATTTGAAAAATATTAGCTGGTATTTAACATAATGTCTGACAATGTTAGTCGCTTTTCACTGAATTCTAGAGACATAATTTTTTTTTACAAATAAGTACGTGCAGTGTGCAAGAAAAAAAATAGACAGACCACTCTTAATAGCTTTCGATCTATTGATCGGATCTTTACGTTCTAGGACTCAATCTTAACGGTTCAAAGGGGTGACCTCAAATATGCTAGTTAATTAGTGCTGACGATATTTTAAGTCACAAAATCAGACAAAAAAACGTACTTTCTCTGATTAAGCCGTTTTTCGACGAATTCATATTTCTGACTCCCAAAATATAGGGGGTAGCAGCAATCCGGGAAACGTGGTTCCAAAATTTTGGCCAAAAGAGCGGTCTAAAGTCTGGACCCATTAATATTAATTTCACTTTCTGCGTATTTCGCCATATCTCGAAAAAGTTTTAAGCGAATGAAATTTTTTTTTGTGTGCATACAATGAATTTTATAATTATAAAATTCATTAAGGCAAAGATAAATCCATGCAAAAAACAACCTTTAGTAAGTATTTACTACTTTTTATTAGTTTATTTGATAATAGTCGAAAATATTTTGAATTGTAAGACATGTAATTTCTTAAAAATTTTTTATGAATGTATTTGTACACGAAAAAATAAAAAATTTGAGCAAAATCTGTTCCTGACAAATTGAATTTTAAAAATGCGACTTTTTCGAAATTCGATTTCTCAAAAATTATCCAACCAATTTTTTTCATATTTTTTATTTTGCCATTTAGAATTGTGTTCTTTAAAATGATGTGAAAATTTTAAAACTTTATAATTCAAAAGCTTTTCGACTATTTTATTAAATAAAATAATAAATATGTATTAAAAGCTATATATTGCATAGAATTGACTCTGGGTGAACGAATTTTATAAATGTGTGCCAAAAGTTTTCAATTCGTTTAAAAATTCCTCGAGATATGGCTAAATACGCAAATAGTAAGATTAATATTAAAGAGTCCAAACTCTGGATCACTATCCTGACCGAACTATTGGGACCATTTTTCCCAGATTGCGACAGAGTTAAAAATCCGAATTCGTCGAAAAAAATAAAAAGCTATGTTTATTCAGAGAAAGTACGTTTTTGCGTCTGATTTTGCAGCTTAAAATATCGTCTGCATTAATTATTTAGCATATTTGAGGTCACCCCCTCAAACCGTTAAGAATGAGTCCTAGAGCGTGAAGATCCTATCATTAGATCAAAAATTATTAAGGGTGGTCCGTTTTTTATTTTGCGAAACTGTACAATAAATAAATAAGTTGCTTATTCCTGGTTAGGGAAATAGGTTATTTTGTAAAATAATTTTATCTGATTTTATTCCACGACTAAACATAAAAGTCTATTTTAAGGACATAGTTTCATAAAATAATATTAATTTTCGATTTCTCATGTCACAGTTAAGAAATTTTAAATGTTTAGAAAAAAACAATATTTTTGATACTTTGAGAAATGCAGGCGATAAAATTTAACCTTTTAAATTTTCTTCATAATCTGTCAAACATATTTAAATCACGTTCTTCAGATGTCAAGAAAAATAAAACTTTCTACTAATTTAAATGCGTGCGTCAAATGCTTTTAGAGATTATGTCTAAGAATAAAAATATTTCAAGCACTTACCTCCAGAACAAACTTTAACTTCAGGTTATATTTCAATTTATGATTATTGTAAACTATCGTTTGCTCCGTTTCGTGCACAATTCCGACGAAGTGAGATAAAAGCGGAGAGGGATACCCGCAGTGGTGCGGAAAACTTGAGCAGGATGTATCAGTTTGATGTTTTTTCACAGTCGGAAATGCTTTATGAAAAGAGAAAGCTGTATAATTCCTTATGGATTGTAAAAGCTTTCTAAACGCCCGGTCTTTTAACAAAAATAGGAAGAATTTTTAGTCACGGATGGTCATTTCGTTTTTGAACTGTTAGTGACCGGCGATCGGGATCATTATTTTTGATAAGAAATTTAATGCTATTTACGTGATTCTATTATTGGGTATTCTTTTGCTTTATTAAGTTGCGAACTTGAATATATCATAAAAATTCTATGTGAAACAATCGTTTGAGAAAGACCAGATTATTATGAGTTTTTGTATAGCTTGTTGGATGCAGAAGTAGGATCAATAAACTTAGTGTTCTTTTAAATATCATGTTTGCTCTATTTTGTGGTGGAGAGCGAAAAGTAAATGAACTAATAATGCTTTATGATAATAATAATTATTATTATTGATTCAGTCAAGCCTTGATAATACGAACCAGAAGTGAGAGACTAAAAATTTTGTGTCATCAAAAATCGAATATTTTAATTGAAATTTTTTTAACATTTGTTTCATATTTACTGTACCGACATTTTAAATATTGTATAACAAGTATTAATTTTTAAAAAAATACTATTTTACTGCATATGTTACCTTTAGTTCTTAATCATAAATAAGATGTTTGATAGTTGTATCAACAATGAGATTATATTACTAAACTACCTACATTACATTCAACTTTTTATAATCAGTTTTAATTAATCTTTTTAAGTAAAGCTATGCCAAGAATTTATAATTTTTATTTTGAATATTGCGTTAATAACATACAGTCTGATCTCGATATTACGAACTTGAAAGGGACATACTAAAAATTTCGTGTTCGTAGTTTGGGATATCGAAAATCGGATAGTGAATTTTTTTTAAATAAATTCAGTCGAAATATTCACTCTGTTGACATAAGTTGTGTAACATTTATTTATTAAAAAAAAAACTAACATTTTGTTCAATTGATGCAAATATCTTTGCCTTTTCACTTGATTTTACATTTTACCGAGGTTCTTCTGTTGTTTCACCTTCTCTTTTCTGGTGTATCTTTAGATAACTCAGTCTCCTTTAACAATAAAACTAATTAATTTCTTTTGCTCGGCAAACCTTTTATTTCTCATTTCACACACTAGGTGGCAGTACTAGGAGATTTTTAAGGTAATGGTAGATAATTAGTTTATTTTAAACTAGATGTCAGCACTAATCAAACGCGTGTATTTGTAATGAGATAAAAAATAGGCACTTTTATGACCGTTTTTTTGAAAATTAACCGATCGTTAAGGGGTTAAACGTTATTGTCCACAGAAACTTCCACAAAATTATCAGTTTATTCGAATCATTAAATAGGTAAGTTCTTTCCCATTTTATAAGCAGATATTCTTATCAAAAGCCGTCTAAGTCGACGTCACTTCACTTACCAGTCCACTAGCAATCCATCAATGATCAAGCAGTTAAATAGTAGCCAATAGGAATAAGTTTCTATTGGGATAATACGTATCGTCCAATAGGAATAGTGAAAACTGCTAGTTGCCATTGACGACCAAAAAATTTCGACAATTGATTAATTTATTCCATTCAAGGATCTAGTTCTACTTTTGGCTTGGATATTTCGGTATACATCTTACATGTATACTTCTTTTGGAATGAATAACTAAAACAATTTTTTTCCCAACATGGTAATCTCTTTCTGATTAAGGCTTTAAATAAAAAAAAATGCATAAAATTGTTCGAGAAAAGTTTTTAAGAATTGCAACTTAAAAGAGCAAGTTAATTTCTTCATAAATGGCGAAATATTATTTTTTTAAAATTATCATAAACATTTTGTGAGTGGTAAAAATTATTAAAGTGGTTAAAATTATAACGTGATAATTAAATGGAGGAAACAGTCGTAACTTGCATTGTAATCAAGCACAAAGATACTATTAGATTTAAGAACTCTAACTAGCTGGGAAGTCATTGTCATTTTCAATTAGCGATAAAATCTGTTTGTTAATAAATTCTGCTTGTAGCGGTTAGGAGATGCTTAAAATTTGTATTGTCATCCAGCAGACAGTTTAAGATAAATAGTTCAGCCACTCCGGCAAGATAGAAAGTGGACCAAATTTTATTGATGTTGGCACAAAATGGTAATAAATTCTGCGTACGTATAGAGATACAAATGGAACTTTTATTGTTATTACTTATGGCGATTATATCAAGAAAATGCTTAGCTTGTAACCGTCTAAGAACGACTGAAACTTATAGTCACAAGATGCAGAATCCTATTAGGGATTTGATTGCTTTAGCTAGTTGGAAAGTGGTTGAAATTTTGATTGTAAAATTCTATCCTGACATACATTAAAACAAGCAAAATAAATCTGATGCTTAGCTAAACAAATATAGTTGAAGAAAAGCTCATATAAAACTATTTATGAAAACATTAAAATATTTCTTTTACTCTTTTACAACCATAAAATAAATTTTTTACGGTTGTTGGATCGTAAAAGAAACCAAAAGAAGTGCTCCGGTAGCGATGTCAGCAAAGTTGTCACTTACTTCGTTGGAGGGGAGCTGGGGTCCTGAGTTCGATCCTGGCAGCCGACTGAACAACCTTCGTGTATATGCAGCATTAAATCTGGCTGAAAGTTCCTTAGTTAGTTCTAGAGTGGAAGTTTGGAGAGAGGGACACCATCTCAGGCGCTGTCCACATCACTTGTTGAAATCAAAATTACATGGCAATTTTACCATGGCCGTTAAAAGCATAAACTCTGAAAAATGGAGTTAGGTGATTGGCCATGGTTGAAAGATTTGTGCCAGAAGAAAGAGGTTTCGAAACTAAAGGGCGCGATTCAAAAGTGGGAGAGCATTTATTTTGGTTAAATTGCAAAACACACGAATTTTTCGCATTTTATTATTGGCTTGATTCATGTAAGATTTAAGGCAATCAATGTTCAACTCCGCAGCCTAGTAATTTTGAATTCAACCCAGAATACAAAGGAAATTCAGAATCAAGAAATGGGACAAATTGATTTTTTTGAAAACTGTTTTGGGGAAGTTCTCAGATGATGGGAGCATAAAATATGACAATAATTTAATTTAAATTTAATTCACATAAAATATTTAGAGTAAATTCATAACTCAGTCTTGTGACATGAATTAATATGAATTACTGCAAAAGATTGTGATAAATACCTTAGAAAATATTTTTTCTGTCAACTAAATGGGATTATTTTCAGCATTCATGGAGTTAACTGAGCTGATATAATCTTAATTAAAACTATTTAAAACATTTAAACACTATTTAGAATTTGTTTTCAGAATAGTGTTTAGATGTTTACATATAAAAATAAAAGTATGAAGCTTGAAAAAGATCGGTGACTTGATAATATCGTTAATAAAAGAAATACATTACACTAGGGAAATTTTTTTTTGTTGCATTTATGTAAATATTTGATCTTGCCTGATTCGAGTGTGGAGAAAACAAATCTGATATTAGTTTTGCCCTTAAATCTAACGAGTTTAGTTTTCAAAATGACATTTTTTAACGAAATGTACGTGTTTAAAAACATACATAAAAAAAAAGGGGGGGGGTTCTGAATGTTGTGACGAAATTTCAAGGGAGCAAGGGTACATCGTCAAGATTAAAATTACATGGGAAACCGTACTCAAAAATATCGTCATACGCGGTTAAGGAAGCTTTCCTATTGAAACCAGTTCACAATCACACAAAGTAACAGTTCATGACAGGAAAGAGCCCCAGCGGCGTATGACGACATTTAGGAACATGGATTCCTGTGCAATTTTTATCTTGATAATGCGTCCTAACTCCCCTTGAAGTTCATCGCAGCATTTATGAGACACCCTGTTATATATAGCGTTTTTTAACTTGTATATTTCAATAAAAAGTAATAATTTCAATTTAAAATTACATGTCCTCATACGCGGCTAGGGGCTCTTTCGGGCATACATTTCCATTCAATTTTTATCTGATGATATGCCCTAGCTCCCCTGCAAGTTGGTTGCAGTTTTTATGAGCCGCCTCAGTGATATATAACGTTTTTAATCTTGTACTAAACTAGTGCGTTCCGACAAAAAGTAAACTAAAAATGTCATAAGAAACTAGTTTTGTAAGAGAAATTGATTTTAGATTTGTAATCAGCTATACATAAGTATAGAATCTGTTAAAAAAAATCTCCTGCAACAGAAAAAAAAATTGTTACTCAGTGTTAGTATATATTACTGTGTGAAAATTTTTTTGAAAAAACAATTTAGTGTTTTGAAGCATGTCCTCAAAAAGAAGTTTATAAGACCTCACTATTAATTTAACAGAAATGAGATTTAACAGAAAAGTTCTTAGATTTAACAGAAAATGAGATTTAACAGAAATTTAACAGAAAAGTTCTTAATCTCCATTCTTAAAACAATCTTTCAAGGATTTTCTTTTGTTTTTATTAATTATTTTGATAACAAAATGCCCTTCTTTTACTCGTGAAATATAGGATTGTTCAGAAAATGTAACGTGCGCAACGCTGATAGTTATTTACTTTTTTTATTTATAAATTTATTTGTTTTAGATAATCTGATATCCTAAAATTTGGAGGAAAAAGTTATTATAGTGTTAGTTTTATTTTATTAAATAGAAAAGTATATTACATAATTAGTGAATATTTAATGCATGTAATATAAATGCCAGGAAAAATTGGAACTAGCTGCTGGGAAATTCCATCATTTAGGAATATCATAATTGTAGACTTATAATTCAGCTAAAATTAAGCAGTTCCAATACTTTTTGTTCAAACAAGTCTTGGTATGTTTTTGCACTTATTCAATTTTTAGTAAATTTCATTAGTTTAAAAACTAAAAAAAAAAATTAGAAACTTATTGTTATTGACGTAGCATATTCTTGCTAGAATTTTAAAGTATTTGTTATATTTCTAAATGTTTCTAAAAATTTTCATTCATG